AAATGTATGTACGGCTCAAGAAAGAGCTTTCTTTTCCGGCAAGCTCAATGATTCCGAGGCGATAGTCTCCAGCTCCAGCTTTCGCACTTTCAGGTTCGGTTTCTTAAGCCCTGTTAATGGTTTAATGGTTTACCATATATGTATGTATGTAGTTACATATTCATAGTTAATGATGACACCAATGGATATGTCACCATATATGTCATATGCTAATGATTCAAATTTTAGATACTTGTATCATCTATGGATTATAGAGGACTAGTGATCTGGAGAGAATGGATTGAGGCTAGGAGAAACTGGATGGTCGGGTTACAAGTTCCAGCAACCGATTGTGACCTTTACAGAAGATGTGGCCAATTCGCGACCTGCAATCCCCGGAGAAACCCGCTCTGTTCTTGCATTAGAGGGTTTAGGCCAAGGGACCTCATAGAGTGGAATAGTGGAAACTGGAGTGGTGGATGCATAAGAAGGGTCTCATTGCAGTGTAATAATGGGAATGCTGATGGGTTTCTGAGGCTGAGTCGAATGAATCTACCGGAATTCGCAATAAGATCCGAAGCGAGTGCACCAGAATGCTTAAGGACTTGTTTGAAGACATGTTCTTGTATTGCTTGTGCTCATGGCTTAGGTGGCTGCATGATTTGGAATGGAAGCTTAATCGGTTCGCAGGAGTTTACTGTTGGTGGAGTCGATCTTTATATCCGTCTTGCACATTCTGAATTCAGTTAAGTATTATTCCATAACTTCTCTTCTATTCTATAATCTTTAGTGATTGGAGTTTTACTGATTCTGTTACTATTTCTTGTCAACTCTCTATTAGAAACGCCGAACAAACGACCGCTTGTGATCGGTACACTATGTGCAGGCGGTATTTTTGTTGTGGCAGCTTGTGGTCTTTTGGCGCGATGGATTGTCATGAAGAAAAGAGGTCAGCGTTTAACTAAAGTATGTTTGCTCCTTATAAGCATTGGATTTTTTAAGTTTTCAATAATATTTTGGATCCGTTAAAGAGGAACAGATGCAGAGCAAATTTTGGAGAGAGTGGAAGCTTTAGCCGGTGGTAATAAAGAAAAGTTGAAAGAGCTACCATTGTTTGAGTTTCAAGTGTTAGTTGCAGCGACTGATAACTTCTCTCTTAGAAATAAGCTCGGACAAGGCGGTTTTGGTCCCGTTTACAAAGTATGACTTTTAAAAGAGTTATGGCAACAAGAAATTTTTGTTGAATCCAACATTCTTGACAATTTTTGTTGTTGTTGCAGGGGAAGTTGAAACAAGGGCAAGAGATTGCTGTGAAGAGGCTGTCACGAGCATCAGGACAAGGGCTTGAGGAACTTGTTAATGAAGTGGTTGTGATTTCTAAGTTGCAACACAGAAATCTGGTGAAATTACTTGGTTGGTGTATAGCAGGAGTAGAAAGGATGTTAGTCTACGAGTTCATGCCCAAGAATAGCTTAGACTTTTATCTATTTGGTAACTTATCAATACTTGTGTCCAAAGTATGTTCCGATGTTATTATCGCCATGTTAACTAACAGAAGCTAATGTGTGTTGTTCAGACCCAGCGAAGGCGAAACTTCTTGATTGGAAGACGCGGTTTAACATTATCAATGGAATATGTAGAGGTCTTTTGTACCTTCACAGAGATTCTAGGCTGAGAATCATTCACAGAGATCTAAAAGCTAGCAACATCTTGTTAGATGAAAATCTGATTCCGAAAATATCCGATTTCGGGTTAGCCAGAATTTTCTTAGGCAATGAAGATGAAGAAAACACCCGAAGGGTCGTTGGAACATAGTGAGTAACTCAATTCTAACCACATGTTACACACTTTTTCTTTCCATAAAGATAGTCATAAAACCGAGTTAATAAATGTATCGTGCAGCGGTTATATGTCACCGGAATATGCAATGGGAGGAGTGTTTTCAGAGAAATCAGATGTTTTCAGCTTAGGAGTGATACTCTTAGAGATTGTTAGTGGAAGAAGAAACTCAAATTCGACTCTCTTAGCTTATGTGAGTCTAACTCTACTAAGTTTGTTAACTCTTTCGAGATTGTTCTTAAGCTCTAGAAATTTTTTATGTTTTGTAGGTATGGTCAATCTGGAACGAAGGGGAGATTGATAGTCTAGTAGATCCGGAGATATTTGATAAAATCTTTGAGAAAGAAATACGCAAATGCGTTCACATTGGTCTTTTGTGTGTGCAAGAAGCTGCTAATGATAGGCCAATTGTTGCTACAGTGTGTTCCATGCTCAGTAGCGAGATTGCAGACATCCCTGAACCGAAGCAGCCTGCCTTTATACCGAGGAACGTTGTTTCAGAAGCTGAATCCTCTGAGAACAGTGACCTTAAAGCCTCTATCAACAATGTCTGCATCACCAATGTCACAGGACGTTAGAAACCGCATAATTATTTAACTGTATGTGTAATTCTTAAATTATTAACCTAAGATTAAAATAAATTAGCATTCAAAATTCCATACATGTGTGATGTTGCTTTTTTCCTTTATCATAAAACGTTAACATTATCACAATTCCATACTTGTGTATTGTTGCTACTGCTAACTTCTAAGACAAGAATTGTTAAGAGTACCTCCAATGCTAATAAGAGTATCTAATAATTGGTAAGGAGGAGAGAAAAAGAAGAGACCGTCTCTAGATTGAGAATCGGTTCACATCATTCGCTCAACATTTTTAAAATAATTTAATATATAAATAAAAATTTAAACTAAATAGAAATTGTTTAAATAATATAAACAAGATACCCAAATGGGTTCTTGGCGTTAAAGATGCTCGAAGACACACTTAGATATTCTTTCAAACAGTAAATACCTTTATTAATTAAAAAATATTTTCAGTCCATTTTTGGTGGCACAGTAGTTTTGTTTTTAAGGTCAAGGACGTAAATCCGTTATTTTGCTTACTCAGTACATGCAAACACTCTGTTTTCTTAGAC